CCCTGTGGGCGGCGTGGGTTTCTCCCCCCCCCCCCCCACCCCCCCCCCGCACCCCCCCCCCCCCCCGCGCCCCCCCTGCCGCCCCCCCCCCCCCCCCCCCCGCCGTCGGTGCTCACTGAAAGCCTCACCTGCCGCTGGGCTGCCTCCCAGAATCTGCCCTCACCCCCCAGACTATGGGGCCTTTGGACTCAGCTGACAGAGGCCAGTGCCAAGACCAGCACCTCCGGGGGCCCTGCCACCTCTGCTCGCCCACAGCTGACACACAGGTCTGGTCAGGGTGAGGGTCGCCAAGCTACCAGCGGAGCCCTGGATCAAGCACTGTTGTCCAAAGACCAGGACAGGGATCCGCACTGCCAGCATTCCTGGGGTATGAGCCCAGGTGCCTCTCCATCCATTCCAGACCAAATTTGATGCAACCAAAGACCAGCAGGCTGCGGCCAAGCCCTGCCCGGGGCCTCGGGCGGTGTGACCATTCTGCCACCGTACTGCAAGGCAGCACGGGGAGACCCATCAGGGCTGCACCTCGGGCCAACTCAGTTCTCCCTGCGGGGCCAGGAGCATGGGCCCAGCCTCTGAGCCGCCCTCACAGGCTACAGGGCACCACACACCAGCCTGACTCCCAGAGCCTGTCCCCATCTGGTACAGTCACATGCTAGAGTACTTCCTGCCCTACCGGTCAGGGTCCCAGCAGGAGGCAGATGGCACCCAGGGGGGGTAATCTCAGATTAGGAAGTGTGCGCCACCGTGGGCACCTTCAGGAGGGGAGGTGCCTGGCAGAGACTCCAACGCTCCAGGAAGGCCACACACACTGGGCACAGAAGGAGCAGAGCTGCTCACCGGGCCCACCCCGCCCCCTTCCCTCCTCTGCCCTTTTCTGGAATGCAGGCTGGCAGGTACAGGTCCCTGGGGAGAGTCCCACTGTCCAGTAGCTACAGTCTGCCACTCGGAAGTGGGGGGAAGCCACACCAGCGACCCTCCCAGCCTGCATGCAGCTGGCCGTGAGCAGGGCAGCCCCCGGGGCACCGGGGGAGCAGACAGTTCTTGGGTTTGGCCACAGCTCCTTGGCACCTCTTGTCCATTTTGTGTGCACATTTTCGTCGTGTCGTGAAATAAACACTCCACTGGCAAACAGACTCTTCTTTACTGCAGGACCCAGGGTACCACCAAGGCCCCGATACATAGACCTTACTCACTAAGCAGTTCATATCCCATTTTTTGTGTCGTTTTGGAGAGACGTTAACATGTGAGCCCAAGGTGCTCCTGGTGCACGGCAAACGAGCCACCAGCAGAGACTGGCCTCGTGAGATTTTTAAATTGCAGACTGTACGTTCACGTCCTCCTGAGAAAGCATCATCTTCCCCCTGAGAGATACTCAGCACAGTTGAGACACCCAGGGACAGCTTAGGGACTTCGTCAGCCCTGACGTCCAGACCCCAGGCACAGTCCCCAACAACAGCTGGCCAGGCTGTGGGGCAGCAGGAGGTACAGGTTCCTTCCCGGCGTAGAGACCTGAGTGGATGGTGCCCAGCATGGAGCTTCTGGAAAAGGGAGGCCCAGCATCAGATTCTGGGCTGGGGCCTGGGATGCCCCGCATCTCTGGTGCCAAGGGCCAGGCAGGAGTGAGGCCCCTGCCAACTGGACCAGTTCAGGGCTCTGCCACGGGGGACCTCTGCAGGACATCCCTGTCCAGCATCACTGGGCCCAGCAGCCCCCTGCGGAAGGTCTGGAGGAAGTCTCGGGCTGCCGCAGGGTAGTTGGGCTGGATGACGTTCACGTCACCTGGGGGAGAGAAGAGGGTCTGGTGAGGAAGGCACCTCCCCACAGGGCAGGCGCAGGATTCAGACACACGCCTCCCTGCCCGTCCTCAGGGACGGACGGTGGGCACCTGTGGAGCCTGGGCACGAGCACATGTTCTGAAAGAAAACACAAGAGTCTGGGCTGTGGCACCTCGACCTCGGCAGGTTTCAAACCGGTGGGACGCAGGGTATATCCAGCGCCAAGAGGCAGGGCCGCCTTGCCGTCTACAGGCTGAACCGAGAGCCTGCCCCTCTGCAGAACCTGTGTTCCCAAAACAGCCACACGTGCCCACAGTGTCCTCCCCCAGCACCAGGGGCCGCTCGATCGGCTGCTTCCCCAAGCCCAGCCGGAGGCGGATGCCCCCACTTCTCACCCGTGCCCGTGAGCACTTTCACCTTCTGCGTCTTCCCCAGTCTCACAGCCACCTGCTTCAGCACGCTGGCGATGTCGTCACAGGCGCCACCCAGGCCATAGTGCCGCACGTACCTACACACAGACCAACAGTCGGGGAGTGGGAGCCAGGAGGGGACATGCCGGGTCACGCCCAGCTCCACAAGGGACCCCTCGTGCATGTGGCCATAAGTGCCCACTGCAGAGCTGCCGATGTCTGTCCTCCCACGTGGCCACAGCCAGCTGTCCTGAGGACCGCTTCCCTGCTGATGCCCGTGGCTGCTATGGCGGGACGACTGCGTCATCCACCCCGTTCCCGAGCAGCCCGTAGCCTGGAGCCCTAGGTCAGCACGGCAGTACCCTGACAGGTGCTCCAAGCCTCTGGGCAGCCGCCCAAGGCAGGATCGCCAGGATTGCCAGCACTCTCTCCAGGGGAGAATGAGCAGGTCTGACTGGTGTTTTCTGTAGCCCACAGACCAGCACAAACCCACTCGGCGCCCGCCTCTGCCGAGAACTGTCCAGTAGCTCTTGTGGACGCCCCGTCCGTGACGCTGGCTCAGGGCCTGATGAGAAAGGCCAGCACAGGGCCGGGTGTGTCTGACCCTGAAGGGTTGAAAGAGACAAGCCTCATCCCCAGACAAGCACGTCCGCCACAGGAGCCGGGAGACCCAACCAACACCTCTGCCGGCCACTCGTCCCGGAACCTACGACAGCCGGAGCGACGGTGGGATTTGCCTCCGGGTCCACAGAGCAGGAAGGGGCTCGGCCGAGGGGAGTCCCCACCTGGGTATCGGAGTGCCCACCTTGGAGGACATCGCATCCTGAGGAAGGCAGGTCCCAAATCAAACTTGCGGCCCCTCTGTCCTGGGCACCCCACTACACACACACAAGGGCCGCCCTGCAGGACATGGCTGCCTGTTCTCCAGAAACACTGGGGGACCGCGGAGGCCCACACAGACTCCCACGGAAATGAAACAAAATAATCAATTTGAAATCCTACTTCCATGCAAAATGGAGTAACGAGAACTGAACTTACGATCCACCTGAAACAACCAGAAACCTACAAAACAATGGTTTTCAAGGCACCAGACATCAAGCTACAAAGGATGTAAACCAACAAACACCCAGCCTGGTGCCCGGAGGCCCCAGGGAGCCCCAAGGATGCCTGGAGTGTGGGCCCAGTAAAAGTCACACGACAGGACCAGAAAGGGCAGAGCTGCCCAGAGAGAGAATTCTGGAAGCCTGCCATCCTCTGTATTTAGCAGAGGAGGGATCTGCACACATGATAAAGGAAGTTCCCCAAAGCCAGAGGCCAGGAAGGACCACCCTGGAGGGCACAGGGGCAGCAGTCAGTGCTCACAGAGAGCCAGGAGCAGACGGAAACCTCATGACCCATGGGGCACAGCAGAGGTGGGGGGAGGCCCTGCCTCAGTCAGGCCTGGAAGGAACTGTTTCCAGATGATTGTCTCAAGCAAAGCTCAAGGATGTGTCCAGGAACTTAAAGATACCCATCTCCCAAGAAGGTAAAATTTAAAACACCCAGCATCCAAGCAAAAATGATCAGGCGTGCACAGCAGGAAAACAGACTCATCGTGAGGAGGAAATCAGTCAGTTGAAAACGCCCCAGACGTTAGGACTAGCAGAGATGTTAGACGGGTCATCGTGACCACATTCCATGTGGTTACAAAGTTAAGCAGATACACAGAAGATGTAAAGCATGATCCGAATCGGACTAGAGACCCGTGCTGTGAGACACACACTGGCGGGCGCTTGCAGTGGGTCAGACACATGGGGTGCAGGCAGGTCGCCCATGGGGCAGCAGCCGTGCCCAGCAGGTCCTGAGGACGGGAGCAGGCAGGAACTGAAAACACAGGAAGAAATAATAGTTGAAAATGTGATAAAAGCTACAAAGCCACAGATCTAAGAACTCAACAAACTATAAGCACAAGAAACATAAAGAAAACCACACGGGTCCCATTGTCATAAATTGCTCAAAAGTACAATAAAGAGAAAATCCTAAAGGCAGCTGGAGGAACAAAGACAAACGTGACAGATTCCTCATCAGAAACAGCACAGATGAGAACAGGATGGGACAAAATCTCTCCACTCCTGAAAAAAAACCATCCACCTAGACTTTCACACACAGGGCAAGTATCCTTCCAAAACGAACATGAAATACGGGCATCTCTGGACAAACCTGAGGAGACAAACTCCTCACCAGCAGACCTGCATTACAATAAACGCTACAGGAAATCGTGAGAGGATGGCGACACCAGACAGAACGTGGATCTACACAAAGAAACAAGCGGTGCCCATGAACCATAAAGCCATGGGCAAACAGCTAAGATTACGTCTCACACCTGGGAGTCTCCATATGAGCAAAAACAGTACATCTCAGGCTTACAAAATACACAAAAGCAAGACAGAACAACAAAAGCCCAAAGATCACGAGAAAAATGGAGATGCGCTATCGTAAGGTGCTTATACGCCATGAGACGGGTTCTATCACCTAACCCTCCTCACACCGAGACAACCTCCTCCATACGTTACAGAAGGCAAGCTGACAAAGGGGAGAGAGGGGATAAGAGTATCCCAGTAACCAGAAAAGGACAGAGAGACAGAGAGACAGAGGAAGAGAGAGAAAGATGCAGAGAGAGACAGAGAGAAAGATGGAGACAGCACAGGCAGAGGAGGAGGAAAAGGAACAAAGGACGGATAGGACAAAGAGTAAGATGACAAACGTAACCCCAAGATCAATAATCACATTACATATAAATGGTCCAATACCCAAAATAAAAGACAGAAATGGTCAGGTTGGATAAGAAACAAGGCCTCACTATCTGTACACAGCCTATGAGAAACACATTTTACTTCATTTTATTTTAAATATTCATTTATTTATTGAGAGAGAGAGAGTGAGGGGAGAGGGGAAGAGAATGGCCCGATCCCACGAACTGTGAGACCATGACCTGAGCTGAAATCTAGAGTCGGATACTTAACTGACAGAGTGCCCCAGGCACCCCGAGAAACACGTGTTAAATATAAAGACACAAACACGCTCCATGTGAGCACTCATCAGAAGCTACAGCAGGTGTGTAACTACCAGACAAGGTCGATGTCAGAGCAGGAAGTATTGTGAACATCAAGAAAGGCATTTTGACTGATAAGGGCATCGGTTCAGGGGGACACGATGATCCCCGGGCTGTCCCTGCACCGCACAACAGAGCTCCGAAATGCGTGAAGCAGACAGACAGAGCCGCAAGACAGACCACAGGCAGAGATTTCAGTACCTTCTCTCAACAACCGATGGCAAAAACAGAAGGAAAACCAGCAAAGCAGAAATAATAATAAAGACTGAACGGTAATCAATGAAATAACAGAAAGACAATGGAGAAAGTCAATGAAACCATACCAACAAAACTGACAAAGCTCCGGCCAGGCTGTGGTCCTCGACGCGGTAAAGGACACCCAGCAAACACCCTCTGCTCACGTCTCACTCCTGGGGGAATAACAAGGTGTAAATCTGCACCAGGAATGAGCGACTGGAGGCACCACACAGAGGAATCTGAAAGCAGTCACACCGAGGACGGGAACCCCGCAAGACAGAGCACAGGACGTCCAAGGAAAGACAGAAAACAGATGGTCACCAGGATGTGGCGAGCGGGCTTTGGGGTCTCGTCTGTAAAATGGGAGCAGGTAAAGGTGGGAAGGAGGAATTACCAAAGAGCACAGGAAATTTGAGGCTTTTCTTGACTGTGTAACAAACATATCGACCTGTATGCTGCAAATAACGTGCAGGCTGCTGGTCTAATCGCATCTTACTGCTGCTGTTTTAGACTATGTTTGTCTAGAATGAGAGAGAGAGGCTAGCCACCTGCCCCGGACCCTGCACTCACCCAAAGAGCTGGTGCCTGTTGAGGGTGTAGAGAAGGTAGTCCGCCAGGGTCTCCTCCCCGACAAGGTGGTCTAACACGGTTCCTAGAATCAGGCGACCAGGGTGAGCCTGGCAAACCAGCCTGGCATCTGCACCCCAGGGCCCCTCCCTGTCTCAGCCCGAGGTGCTGCTGAGGAGAAGGCCCGGCCGTGGCCCTTGGACCTGACCCACAGACCTGCCTTGGCTGTACAATGGGAGAAGGAAGGCACTCTCTCCAAGGAGGGCTGTGAGGGTCAGTGGGGTCACAGCAGTGCCTGGCCCACATGCGCCCTGAGCTAGGACCGCACAGGCTGCTTGAGACGCCCGCTCAGCACAGCATTCAAGAGTCTGCAACATCCAGGCCTAGAAAGGCAGGCACAAAGTGCCAGGGCTGGGGGCCCCGCACCCAGGCGGCAGGAGGGGGCACGAAGGGTGACCCCCAACTCACCACACAGGGCCAGCTTTAGGCCCATCTCCACGCTTTCAATCCGAGGAGCCAGCACCCCAGGAGTGTCCAGCAGGAACATCAGCGGCCGCTCACACACCTGTGGACACAGAGGACAGTCGGCCGCGCCGCTGCCTCCAGGCTTGCTGCTGGGCGGCCCCTGGAGCTGGGGTGTTAGGCTCCTGAGGCTCCAACGAGGCCTTTCCACCACACTCTTGGCTTCCCCACTGGGTCAGCTCCCACTGAGTCCAGAGCACAGGAGCAACAGGCCCCAAGGGCCCCAATCTTCTCCTCCCAGGGAAAGAAGGGAACGTGTGGACAAGCTGAGCTGAGCTGTGTGACCTTAGGCAGATGCGGGCTCCCCCTCCATAAAACAGGGGTGACGAGCAAGCCTGCCCGCAGCTCTGGTGGAAGGCTGGTGCAGTGCCTGGCGTGTGGCAACACTCGGTGGGGCGGGTGGAGGCAGGGCCTCCCGAGTCCTCAGGAAGCAGCAGGCGCCTGCGTGTGGAGCTCCAGACCCAGCAGCCGAGGACCCTACCTGGATTCTGGACATCACAGCTCTGGTGATCCCAGGCTCGCCGCCCACCCTGGTAGCTTTCCCTGTGGGATGCAAAGGGGCTGTCGGACATAGTGAACACAGAAGCCTGGCACACAAGCTACAGAAGAAGAAACGACACAGCCGGAAACCCATGAAGGCCCAGATGAGCTCGTGCTCAACTCAGCACCAAACCAACAGGGACAGAAATGCACCTCCCTGGTGCCTGGGAGGGTGAGGAGAGGCCAGGGCCTGGCCGTGGAGGTCAGCACAGAGCTGCTGCTTCCCACACGACGGCTTCCTCCCTCCTGGACTTGATCCTGTGCCCCCGACACCAAGCCTACACCCGGCAAATCAGCCCCACAGCACTGATCACGACAGGCCTGTCTGTGAGCACAGCTCCCGACCAAGGGGCCGGATAAACTCAAGAGTAGAGATACACGTATCTATCGGTGGACAAATGGAAAAGCAAAATGTGGCATCTAAACATAATGGAATATTATTCAGCCTTGAAAGGGAACAAAATTCTTTTTTTTTTTTTTTAAATTTTTTTTTTCAACGTTTATTTATTTTTGGGACAGAGAGAGACAGAGCATGAACGGGGGAGGGGCAGAGAGAGAGGGAGACACAGAATCGGAAACAGGCTCCAGGCTCTGAGCCATCAGCCCAGAGCCCGACGCGGGGCTCGAACTCACGGACCGCGAGATCGTGACCTGGCTGAAGTCGGACGCTTAACTGACTGCGCCACCCAGGCGCCCCAAAAGGGAACAAAATTCTGACACAGGCCACAGCACGGATGGACCTTGGGGACATTATGCTCAGTGAAATCAGTCCAACAGAAAAGGACAACTACTGTGTGATTCCATTCATGTGAGGTAGGAGCTCTTCAGAGATCCAGGGACAGAAGGCAGATTAGTGGTGCCCAGGTGGTAGAAGGGGAGAGGGGGCTAGGGGTTATGTTTACAGACTTTCAGTTTGAGACCAAGGAAAAGTCTAGAAATACTGTCATGGTCGCACAGCACTGAATATATTTAATGCCACCAATTTTTTTTTTAAGCCACAATTAGAGAAAAGTAAACTTAAAAAAAAAGATGATTTGGGGCACCGAGGTGGCTCAGTGGGTCCGACTTCAGCTCAGGTCATGATCTCGCAGTTTGTGGGTTCGAGCCCCGCGTCAGGCTCTGTGCTGCCAGCTCAGAGACTGGAGCCTGTGTCAGATTCTGTGTCTCCCTCTCTCTCTGCCCCTCCCCTGCTCACACTCTGTCTCTGTCTCAAAAATAAACATTTTTTAAAAAATTAAAAAACAAAATGATGATCTGACAATTCTCCAACGAGCACCAAAAACACCATCTGTAAAATAACAGTTCAGCGGAGCTCATGGTGTTTGGGTTTGTTAATAAAGAACGCATCCTGGTGTGGAACACGAAGCCAATGTGGGACTTGGTACTGAACTTTAAAATACTTAATGGAAAAGGGTAATGACACAGCGAGTAAGTAGTGTGGGCACGTCTGTGTGACTCCAAATCCAAATGAGCACGAAACAAGGAGATAGGCCCGGGGTCTCCAGAATCTCCCCCGAGCAGTCGGGCAGGATGCCGTCTCCCAGCTGGGGCTGCCCCATCAACCGCCTGCTGCTTATTATCAGGCCCCATCTATCTGGCTACGCCATGAGTATGGGCATCAAAGAGATTTCCGTGAAGGGGAACACAATCACCAACAGGCAGGAAAGTCATCCACGTGTTAAATACCTTAACACTTCATGTTCAGGAGAGAGAACAAAGTAAAATGTGTGACAGGATAGGGGCGCCTGGGTGGCTCAGTCGGTTGAGCGTCCAACTTCGGCTCAGGTCATGATCTCACAATTCGTGGGTTTGAGCCCCGCGTCGGGCTCTGTGCTGACCGCTCAGAGCCTGGAGCCTGCTTCGGATTCTGTCTCT